TTGTCTCAGAGCATCCTGTTTGTTTCACAACCTAATCCAGATTAATCCTCTGCTGTTGTGAGAAAGAAAATGTAAATACGTGCTCAGCTGTATCCCATAATGCTCTGTTTGTAGTCCACAAACGGGGGTCATATATATATATATATATATATATATATATATATATATATATATATATATATATATATATATATATATATATGGACTGTAGTCCATCTGTTTCTCTGCATACTTTGATACCCTGTTCTTCACTGGTCAGGACCCCCCATGGACCCCCACAGAGCAGGTGTGTGTGTTAGTGTGTGTTGTGCTGTTACGAGTGGATCAGACACAGCAGTGCTGCTGGAGTTTTTAAACACTGTGTCCACTCACTGTCCACTCTATTAGACACTCCTACCTTGTCGGTCCACCTTGTAGATGTAAAGTCAGAGACGATAGCTCATCTGCTGCTGCACAGTTTGTGTTGGTCATCCTCTAGTCCTTCATCAGTGGTCACAGGACACTGCCCACAGGACGCTGTTGACTGGATATTTTTGGTGTTCAGTCCAGCAGTGACACTGAGGTGTTTAAAAACTCCAGCAGCACTGCTGTGTCTGATCCACTCGTACCAGCACAACACACACTAACACACCACCACCACGTCAGTGCTCTGTGTGGGGTCCTGTAGGGGGTCAAATTCACTCGACCCTAATGGCTTTTGAGGCTGTACAGTAGCTCTTTGATGGCACTAAAAATGACTAATAGCACATAGTAATAGAGCTTTGAGAGCCAGTAGAGCTATAGTACTAATATTGAGTCTCCAGAGTCTCATTCATTCTGAGTTAAGTGTAGTTTAATCAGGCGATTCTGCTGTTACACTTCTGAAACGTGTCCTGTAGCTCTGCAGCTACTCCTCTGCATTTGTACTGTGCTGTCGGAGTATTTTTAGCCGTGGGTTCTGCTGGATGTGGGCTGTTAAAGCGGTTTAATTGTGCTCGGCGGTGTGCGGTAAAAACCACTCGGTTTCCTGATCAGAAGAGAGGAAATCCTCAGGCTTATGTGGATCAAGGTCAGACGACCATTCAGCTACAACAACAGGCCTTTGTTCCGCTGAGCCACAGAGACTTCTTTAGACGTCTTTGTGGGCTGGACTGCTTGTTTGTAAAGAACCGCGAGGCGATAAAATCACGATCATAGCTCAGCCAGTTTGTATTGAAGTCCATGTAGTTACTGAATAATAAGACCTTTCCACTCTAATGTCTCCAAGGTTTCTCAAACACTAGAGGGCGCTTCCAAAACGAATGGTTTAAGATGGAGTATTTGAGCAAAATCATGGTTTATAAATGCTTAAAAGTTTTTAATATAAAGGAATACCTTAATTTCCAGGACACTGAATAGCATAAAGCATTTTAACACCGCTGTTATATTTTGTAGAGCTTTTAAACTCGAGTTATAAGAGTTTAAAATGGCACCTCATGTACGTTCATGATGTCTATACGCACGAACAGCCAATGAGCTGCTCCGCTCACCAACCAATCAGCAGTCAGTAGCAGTACTGTTAGTGTCCCGCTGCCCAAAACCCGTTTACTGTAGAAAAAGGAAACATACAGGTGAGTTTTCTTTGCATTTTTAGTGAAACACATCCCTCTACTTTCTAAAATTAAAGAGTGATTAGAAACTATTATTTTGTTTTTAGCCGTTGAGCTCCATTTACTCCAATTCATTGAGGACTCTTTTTTTTGCAGTCCTGTTTTTGATATAACGGGGGAAATAAGAAGTGGCCTGGCTGCTCATAAACCAACTCTGTTAACATCACCTTATGAGTGCAATTAGTAAAAAAAGTGCTAATAATAATAATAATAATAATAATAATACAATAAGTAGCCCATGTAGATTAATACACTGTAGGATTGTGGACAAGAGGTAAAAATAATGGTCAAACCAACCTTGTTTTTGTAACGTGCCAACAAGATTCAGACGCTCACGGTTAGAGAACAAAAAGGAGGCTTTACTAGTAGAATCAGAGTTCAAGGTTGTAGTTGAAAAACATGCAGGGGTCAAATCCAAAAGGCACAGCAGATACAAACAGACAAACATAACACACTGGTAACAGTCCAAAGAGGGTAAAAAGGTCAAAAACAGGAATGAGAGAACCAGGACAAACACAATGAAGAGCAAATGCAGAGCAAAAGGCAGAGTCGAAGAAACGTAAAGTAATGGTCATTCACAGAATACAAACAATAGATACAACGGTCAGTAGATCGCAAACGGACACAATACCTCGCAACCTTCTAGGACTAAAGCCTGTGGTTATATACTGAACTAAGAAAGTCATATGATCAACAACACAGGTGACCGGTATTCCGGCGATCTAGAGTGCTGATAGGAGCCTGAGGAAAGGTCAGGAGTCAGGTGACCTCCCAGAGGATTCTGGGAGATGGAGTCCATGTAAGTCTCTGAGTTTGAGGGAAGTGTGGAAGTCATGTGGGAGTCCGGATCCTTGCTAGGACTCAGCGGCTGTGTGACAGTTTTAAAGCGATAGCTTGGGGAAACTCAAATTTCCAAAATTTCCTCCATACTTTAAATGTAGTTTATCTGCTACGACATGTTTGGTGTCTGAAGTTGGCTTCTTTAGTTTTGTGCTGGAGCAAAAAGGCTAATGTAGCTAACATGCAATGGGAGCTTATAACAAAGTACTGTACAAAGGTAATAGACGTAATGGACCACCCTTCATTTATTTCATTTTCAGTCAAAACAGCAATTACAAGTATTCATTCTGGAGATTAGATATAAGAAATGAATGTTCCCTTAAGAACAACAGACTGACCACCCCAGAGTCCAGACCTCAACATCACTGAATGTGTTTGATTACTTCAGAAAATGATCAACCAGTTTCTGAATTTTGGAGGTACTTTTGAGAAACTGAAAGTGAGTTTCCTGAAAAGAATGGAAGCTGTAAAAAAGGTAAAGAGTGACACATTAAATACTGGACAACTTTATATTATATTTCGTTGTTGAGGCTTCTGGGTAATTTTCAGTTAAAAATACATGTTTTTGCTTTTTTATTGACACTAAAAAATGAATCGTTTTGCATAGTACTGTATACATCATTTCTATATTATATATTATATGTTTAATCAACAGTGACAGACTTATCGCAGCACTTTTTCAGTATCCGGGAGGTTCATGGCCAATGGATGCTGACCAAATTTGGTATAAGAGCACTTTTTGTCCAGTTTTCCTGGCCGTTTGCTGTTGATGTTGTATGCATTGTCTCTTCAGTTTCCTCACTCTTATAAAACACAGTGAGTGTTCTGTTCTGGACAAACACTCAGCTGAACATCTTTAGAATCAATATCCGACTCCTCCTGTCTTTGACCGCTGCTGTCAGCATTCTTTTTTGACCAGCTGTGAAAGCCTCAGACGCCTGGGCCCTGGGCCAGAGCAGCACTGACCGCTGCAGGAGAGCTTTCTGCTGTCCCGAACAGAGACCATTCAGCTGTGGTCAGCTCCGCTGTTCTGCTGCAGTGCCAGGCCTCAAGTGCCCTCTTTAGAAAACCAAGGCTTTCTGAAGCGCGGTCAGACAGATGATGACCATCGTTTAAAGTTTAGGGTTATTATTGTCACTTTGCTGTATTGTTTAAATGTATGTACTAGTGGTGTCACAGTTAATGTTAACATGGTAAATGTTTAACACCATCAGATCTTTTTATGTGCCTAACACAGTTTGCTAGTTTGTCCCTTCAGACTATCTGTAGTTCCAGGCTGGAGCCCAGCTGCAGTGCGCTGCTGCTATGACCCCGTAACTGTAGCCCTTTCATTCAAATTCAATTCAAGCTTTTAAATGGGGATTAATATCCAGCTACTTTCATGCTGTGAATTTGTTTATCACTGAAGCACATCGAGTACGATTTATCATTTACAAGCTAATCATGATTAAACACACACATGAATGCGATTAATCACAATTAACAGCGCAAACTAATGTGATTACTTACAGTTAACTACACAGACTAATGTGATTAATCACAATTAACTACGCAAACTAATGCAATTATTATTATTAACTACACAACTAATGCGTTTAATGACTACTGACCACACAGACTAATGCAATTAATTGTAATTAACCTCACAAACTAATGCAGTTAATTACAATTAACTACCCAAACAAATGTGATTAATTGTGATTAACCTCACAATCTAATGCAGTTAGTTGCAGTTAACTACACAAGCTAATGTGATTAATTGCAAATGACTACATGAACTAATGCAATCAATTGCAATTCATTATTACCTAATGCAATTAATTAACTAATTCGATTAATCACAGTTAATTAAATGGCCAATGAATGGAACCGATACGATTTATAACACAGACTAATTGTGATAACACAAACTAATGCGATTAATCAGTAATAACAATGTTCATATTTTGACCACCAGTGTTAGAATTTAAAGGCGAGGCAGGGAGCCTCATACAGTACTGGGCAAAAGTCAGAGACCACCCCTCATTCACTTATTTCCTGTAAGACATTATGAAAAAGTCATTCATCAAGACATCTCTGAGGAGATTAGATATAAGATGAGGCCAAGATTAAAGACCGTCCGTGCTGCTGCTGTTCTCAGAACAGTGGACTGACCACCCAAACCTCGACATCACTGAATTTGATTGGGATTACTTTGATCATGAGCAACAGAAAATGGGAAACCAAGTCCTAAGACTGAACTTTGGAGCTGCGGCTGCAGATTTCTTTGAGAAACTGAGAGACAGTCTCAGAAAAGAACGGAAGCAGCAGGGAAAATCACATGTGGACACATTTAGTACTAAAAATGTGATGTAAAATTTAGTTGTTGAGGCTCCTGTGTAATTTTCTGTTCATTTTCTCCATCTATACTGGCAGCATGTGGAACGTTTCTAGCCAGCTGGTTTGACGCTCAGCCCACTGCAAACACAAACGACAAAAATGTTCAGTAGTCTTTCTGAATCCTGAGAGCGGCTTCCCTTTCTCTCTCCACAGACAACAGAGTGGGTCTGCTTCAGTACAGGGCAGTTTGTGGCCAGCGCTCAGTCCAGCCTTTCTGTGAACGTGGACAACAACTGGGCTGGTAAGGAGAGATCACGAGACAGCAAACAGGATCAGCGGCTTAGAGCAAAGTCTGGATTGACGCTAAAGCGAGTTGACGACACAAAGGCAGTGAACTTTCCTCCTCATTTAGCAGTCGACTGCTTTGCTAATGCTGTAGTTCACTGTAATATTTCATTAAACATTGAAGCTACACCCATGAGAATCGCTTCATACGATCAGATGGGTCCAAACTTTGGACTTTAGCAGCTGTCATGTTCTCTTAAGCTCGTCAGATCTTCTCCTCATCATCACTGAGATCACTTTTTGTCAGATAGTGTGAATACAGCTAGTGCACAATGCTAACCTGCTAATCCAGCCATCTGCACTGTTCAGGCTTGTTCTGGACACATAAAGTTGTGTGAGCGTTCTGCTGTGAGGCTTAGCCTCTAATCTGGACACATATGGTCACATGCAGGTTAGCTTTGTTTCAGCCACCGTGAGAGATAACACGGAGCTCGAGGTCAAGGCCGAGCATTGTGGGCGATCAGCTGACACGTATATACACACACACCGGCCTTGTTTGGCCCACATGCTCATATTGTCTGGCAGAGAGTGTGAAAAGGATGTTTACGCACAGAAACAAGAAGCTTTATGGAGCTGACCTCAGTGTGAACTGGGACAACTATGCTATTAGCTAAGTATGCATATAAAGTTAAAAGCTAGCGGTCCATTATACTGGAGAACAGGGATAAACATGTTTAAACATGTTTATATAAACATAAAACATGCAGAGTGCTATTAGCTTTAGGTACCCCAGGAAAAACTGTCTATTTACAGAGTTACCTGATTTTAGCATTAGCCATGTTTTACATACAACAACTGAGAAGACATGCAGCTTCACTGGTTGTTTGAATAACAAACAAAATGGCTTTGTAAGATGTTTGTAGACATTGGTATCTGTGATTCGTATCACTAACCCTTTAGCTCAGTTGTTCTCAAAATGGCCCTCAGGGCCGCCCAGTCCCCCAGCCCCCAGGCCACATTTTTGTGTAATCCCAACACCCAACACACAAGGATAAAACAAACATGTGGACCGCTTTCTTTAGAAAAAAAAAAACACTTTAAAAGATTAAACAGACTGAAATTTGTTTCATATTTAGAAGCTAATTGTGCTGAAATTTGGAAATTTTGGTGGAATTCTCTTAAATATTATAATACAGTCACTGTATTATTTACACTAGCCAAATATAAACAATAGAACTGTGAATAAAATACTTTTTTTTTCATTTAAGTAATTATATATATATATATATATATATATATATATATATATATTTATTTATTTTATTATTTACATTATTACTGCTTACTTTGCTTAAATAGATGAGGCACCCCTGATACGTTGTCAGTAGATAACATTCATGTGATTTTTCTGTTGTTTTTTCCCCACAGGAGCTTTGAACTCTGCCCCACTCACCACCAGCCAACCACAGCTGCCCTTACACCATGCAGAGGAATGGAGCTGAATCTATACTGGGTGAGATAACTGTCCATTACTGCCCTCCAATCAGAATCCTAGTCACTGGTGGGCAAATCAGAGTCAAGTCTCAAATATCTGGTGCGGAGAGTCTGAGTCGATCCGCAAGTTCTAGTCGATCTAGAGTCTCTGGGGTGCGAGTCTAAATCAAGTGAGTGTAAAGTTTTTAAACAAGTCAGTGTCACTGCTAGCTTGAGAGTGGTCCCCCCACCCAAAAACATCCAGACAGGAGCAGATCTCAGAAACTGACCACTGATGAAGGACCAGAGGATGACTAACACAAACAGTGCATGAACAGATGAGCTGCAGGCTCTAAATGTACACCAGCAAGGTGGAGCTAGAAGAGACGGGTTTCTGATAAAGTGGCCAGTGAGTGTATTTCTGTAATGGAAAATGGAACGTCATAGATTAAATGTTACAAAATGTGGTGTGGCCTTGTGTGGTTTTGACCCACCGTGTGTCCATCAGGAGCAGCTGTCTAATAGCGCTCCTCTGTGGCGTATCAGTGTCCATTTAATATCTACACCTGTTGCACTGGCCAGCTTTTCCCAAGTCTCTGATAACACAGACTGCATGCAGGGAATATTTAAAGGTGCTGGGAATTTGTGCCCATTTAATGAAAAGAGCTTTAGTGAGATCAGGCGCTGATGTTGGACGAGAGGGCCTGGCTCACAATCGATGTTCCTGTTCATCCCAAAGGTGTTCAGTGGGGTTGAGGTCAGGACTCTGGGGTTCATCTACACCGAACTCCTCACACTGTGTCATTATGGTTTTGTGCTTAGGGGCTCAGTCATGCTGGAGCAAAAGGCTCTTCCCCAAAGTGCTGCCGCAAAGTTGGAGGCATATGATTCTCTAAACGTCTTTGTTTGCTGTAGCATTAACATCACCCTTCACTGGAACTAAGGGGCCCAAGCTCTGAAAAACAGCCCCAGCCCATCATCCCCCCTCCACCAAACTTTACTGTTGGCACTATGCATTCCAGTAGGTTCTCCTGGCATCCAGATTCATCCATCAGACTGCCAGACTGTAAGTGTGATTCATCACTCCAGAGAACTTGTTTCCACTGTTCCAGAGTCCAGTGTTGGCATGTTTTACACCACTCCAGTCGACACTTGGCATTGCGCATAGTGATCTTAGGCTTGTGTGCAGCTGCTTAGCCATGGAAACCCATTTCCAGAAGCTGCTGATGCACAGTTCTTGTGCTGATGTTGCTTCCAGAGGCAGTAGTGAGTAATGCAACACAGGACAGGTGATTTTTTCATGATACAAGCAGCTCTGAGAGTTCGGCTGAGCTGTTGTTGCTCCTAGACAATTCGAATTCACAATAATAGCACTTACAGTTGACCAGGGCAGATCTAGCAGGGCAACAATTCACGTCCTGACCTGTGACAAAGGTGGCATCTTATGACAGTGGCAAGTGACTGAAGTCTTCAGTACGACCCATGTGGCCGCCAGAGATTGCGAGGCTATGCGCTTGATATTAGGGGTGTCCACATACTTCAGGCCACATAATGTATATCATTCTTATAGGCACAGTATCGAAAATAGCCTATTTAATTAGGGATTAAGGGATGAAGAAAGGTGGTGAAATTGTCATATAAAAGTAAATCAGGACTGTTTTTGTTGGGTACAACCAGGAAAGATGTAAATATAAGGAAAATAAGAATTTAGAAATGAATAATTCAGAAATGAAAAACTCAGATTCAGCATTTTAGACTTTCTAATGCAGCAGATTTATTGATTGTGATATACAGTGTTGGCTTTGAGCCAGTAAAGATTCCCCATAGCATCTATATTCTCTGCATCTGGGAGATAGGCGTTATAAATGATCAGCCTGGTATCCAGGCAACCCCGATATTTCCGAAAGCCCTCTGTTTGGGCTTTGCATTCACTCTGCCTGCTCTGCTTTCTCCAGCTGAAGGAAATGAGGGAGAAATTACAGGGTTTTGGAGACATTTAGGCTGAATTACACTTCTGAGTCTATGAGTCTGTGAACATAAGTCTCTGCCGACATACTTGAAGTCTGTAGCGAACAGTTTCTATTAGAGCTAAGCTTCAGTTCAGGCCAAAACTCTGTCAAAATGTATGAAAAAAACAACTCTACGTTAATACTGATTTCCGCTGGCACCCCAGTGGGATTTCTAATGGTATATTAGCACTAGCACTGGCACACATGAACATTTCCTGGCTGTTCTAGGTTAAACACGAACATTTAGAAGCATGTAAGAGACTTTAACATATATTTGAGCTTGAACGTATCAGTTGTGACTCTTTCAGTAAAGAGTCCTGATATAGAGCTGCTGCCACTGTTTTCCATTCCTAACAACTACCTGAAACCTGCTTAGACTACAGCTCATGTTCAGTCGATGACGTATCTAGAACTCCTAGAAGGCGTAGATTGAGTCTTTCTCAAGAAACTGCTTCCACACGTTGGAAAAATCGAAACAGGGTTAATTTCTCTGTCATTTCCTAATTATGTTGGGAGTTGAGCGAATATGTAAGGTCTTCAGTCCAGGTCCTGAAGTTCTAACCAATGAGAGAGCTCGCCTGACTGTATCGATGTAGATACCAAAGAACAAAATCCTGATTGGATATTTTTCCATTGGGCATTTTAGCAATTTTGTGTCCAAACAGAACTGAACAATAAGAGTATGATTTCAATACCTGTAGAATTTAAATACAACAACGATGATACCACTATTATATGCGAATGTACTTAAAATTAAAGACATGTATTTTCAGTTTCCAGATATCATTAGACCTTCTCTGGGGGTCAACAAGGCCCTGAGGGTTCCCCACTGCTCATAACATGAACAGGTGCGCTAGGGGGCGCTGTCCAGAAATCAACACATCTTTCGTTGTGTTGTAGATACTGGATCGACGAAACAAGGTAGTGAAAAAACAACAAAAGGTTGATGTAAAAAGTCGATTCTCAAACTGCTGGGTTTGTTTTTTGCACTGGTTCTGATTTGGTTCCATTATTGTTCGGGTCTCGTCGTGTCCCTAATACTACCAGATAGCCAGTCGGCGTTTGCTTGACGTACTGATCCGCAGATTCACATGATGCATAGTTGAGAGAGCATGTGTCAAACACAAGGCCAGCATGCCAGATCAGGCACAATCCAATCCAGCCCTCGAAATTATTTTGATTTTCTATTAATAATTAGCCCATTTCACAATCAGCAGGACTACAATCCCCAGCATGCACTGCAGTCTAACTTCCACTGACAACCCACTCCCTAACAACAATCTATGGGACAGCGGTTTTCTACCCAATTGCACAACATATCACCAAACCCACCAGCGGCGTTTCAGCTGCAGTTCAACCAGCATAAACACTATAAACACTCAGCAGCTCAGAACACAAGCATTAGTGAACTTGCAGAAAGAAAAGATGTCAGGTGTCGAGAACGAAAGCACACAGGTCGGTTTAACAGACCTACATCCTGAGGACATTTAAAGAGACTTAACTGTTATCTGTAATACTTGTATGTCAAGTATTCACATGTAATATTTGAAGGTTGCTGTTAATGTTTTGTTGAGATTTTTTAATTTTGGCCCTTTTACTGGTTGAGTCTGACACTCTGCTGTAGAGGGTGTGTTAACTTTTTTCAAACCAGCAAAACGTGTCATTTGACCAGGTGCCAAACTTCTGCATACAACTGTATATGCAGTGGCGCCTTCCTGTGGTGGAGCTGTGCAGTGCAGGAGTAAACAAGAGACAGTTTGTGTATATATATATATATATGTATATATATATATATATATATATATATATATATATATATATATCACTGTTGTCAGAAGAAAAC